CATGATGTTTCAACATGCAAATCGATCATTATGATACATCATATCAGCAAAAGTGACAAAACCCACAAGATCATCTCAATACATGCAAGAAAATAATTTGGTAAAATTTTATATCCAATTATGATAAAACTCTTGTGAAAGTCAGTATAGAGGGTACATATTTCAGCATAATAAAAGTTATTTATGACAAACTCACAGCCAATATAATAACCAAGGGTGAGAAGTTGAAAGTCTTTCCACTAAAACCTGGAACAACACAAGGATAGCCACTCTCACCATTTCTCTTCAACATAGTGTTGGAAGTCTTAGACATACAAACCAGAAAATAAAAAGAAATAAAACCTATTCAAAATGATATGGAGGAGGTAAAATTGTCATTATATATGATATATGATTATAGATAATGATATGATATGATATGATACTGCATGTAGAAAATCATAAAGACTCGCTGCACAAACTGTTAGAACTGATAAATGAATTCAGCAAGGTAGCAGAATACAAGATTAACATACATACATCTGTTACATTTCTTTATGCTAACATGAAATATCAGAAAGAGAATGAAAAAGTTGTAGCAAAAAAGTAAAGTATCTAGGAGGCAAAACCTGACCAAGGAGGTGAAAGACATACACTGTGAACTGTAAAACATTAATAAAGAAAATCAAAGACAATTCCAAGAAATGGAAGGATATCCCATGCTCTTGGATTGCAAAAATTAATATTGTTAAAATGGCCATACTATCCAAAGCAATATACAGATTTAATAAATACCTATCAACATATTCATGACATTTTCCACAGAACTATAGAAAATAATCCTCAAATTCATATGGAACCATAAAAGACCCAGAATTGCCAAAACAATCTTGAGGACAAAGAACAAAGCAGGAAGCATAACCATCCCAGACTTTAGACAATACTACAAAGCTACAGTAGTCAAATCCATATGGTATTGGCACAAAAACAGACATATGAATCAATGGCACAGAATGGAGAGTCCAACAAGACACCAACATACTTATGGAAAATTAATCTTTGATAAGTGAAGCAAGGACATACAACTGGTAAAGAACAATCTCTTCAGCAAGTGGTGCTGGGAAAGTTGGACAGCCACATGTAAATCAATGAAGTAGGTACATACCCTCGCACCATACACAAAAATAAACTCAAAACAGCTTAAAACTTTAAATATAAGACAAGACACCATATGACTCCTAGAAGAGGCAAAACATTTCTGACATGTCATACCAATGTGTTCTTAGGTTAGTTTTCCAAGGCAATGGAAATATCAGTAAAAATAGACAAATAGGACTTAATTAGACATGTGTTTTGCACAGCAAAGGAAACCATAAACAAAACAAAAAGACAACCTATGGACTCTGAGAAAATATTTGTAAATGATATGACTAACAAGGCTTAATTTAACATCTCCTACAATTCAATAACAAAAAAGTACAACCCAATAGAAAAATGAACAAAACCTAAATAGACGTTTCTTCAAAGGAGGTATACTGATGGCCAACAGGCATTTGAAAAGATGGTCATCATCACTAATTATTAGAAAAATGTAAATCAAACAAGGTCCCATCTCACACTAGTCAGAAAAGCTATGACTAAAAATCTACAAATAATGACTGATGGAGAGTTTGTGGTGAAGAAGGAACCTCTTACACTGTTGCTGGCAATAAAATGATGCCATTTTCAGCAATATGAATGGACCTAGAAATTACCCTACTAAAAGAGAAAGACAAATGCCATACGATATCACTTACTAACACATATATATGGAATTTAGAAAGATGGTAATGATAACCCTATATGCAAAACAGAAAAAAAGACTCAGATGTATAGAACAGACTTGTGGACTCTGGGAGAAGGCGAGGGTGGGATGTTTAAAGAGAACAGCATCGAAACATGTATATTATCTAGGGTGAAACAGATCACCAGCCCAGGTTGGGTGCATGAGACAAGTGCTTGGGCCTGGTGCACTGGGAAGATCCAGAGGGATCGGGTGGAGAGGGAGGTGGGAGGGGGGACCAGGATGGGGAATACATGTAAATCCATGGCTAATTCATTTCAATGTATGACAAAAACCACTGCAATGATGTAAAATAATTAGCCTCAAACTAATAAAAATAAATGGAAAAAAAAGTATGAAACAAATTAACATATTTATGAAACAAAAACAGACTAACAGATATATAGAACACACTTGTGGTTGCCAAGGGGGAGAGGAAGAATTAGGGAGTGGAGGATTGGGAGTTTAGGTTAGCAGATGCTGCCTATCATATACATGATGGATAAACAACAATGTTCTACTGTAAAGCTCAGGAAACTATATTCAATGTCCTGTGATAAATCACAATGGAAAAGAATGTACATATATATTATAACTGAGTCACTTTGCTGTACAGCAGACATTAACACAACATTGTAAATTAACTGTTTCAATAAAATATTTTGCAAAAAGGAGAAATATGCCAAATATTGCAATTAGGTGTTTGTGAATTATAGAGTTGCATGCCATTTTAACTTTGTTATTTTGGGCATTTCATAATTTTTCTTAATGATTATGAATTATTTTTATAATTATAAAAACTCACTTTATTTTTTCAGTGACAGAATGAAAATGTTATTGTATTTGCTGAATTTCTCTTTTAAAAGAAATGATGGTTTAAAAAATTGCATTGATCCAAATTTGAGTGAGGCTGCTAAGTGCCTGAAAAAAACATTTTACTGATAGACTAGAAAAGCAGTCACTGAACATTTGGTTTCTTCAGCGTTCTGGCATTTTTCAGTCCTACCATGAAGGGAATGTTTAAAGGAAGTCATCAGAATAGTTCATTCTTGGGTGTTGACATAAATCACAGCATTCTATTTTTCTCGTATTAGAGGGCTTTCTCTTTCCTTTTCTGTGATATTACAGGACTGAAGTCACTAAGAGCTATAATTATCAACACATTTAGGAGGAAAGGGAAACATTTCTAGAGGAATCAGTTTGCCTTAATTCATCCAAATAATCAAAGCTAACTCATGCGAAGTTGGGAAGATCATAATCTCTATACATAATTATCCCCTTTGCTCACTGTGTTGTAGAAAATGGGGCCACATTATTCCTGAAGAGCAGCTAATTGTCTCTCTCCCAAAGCTGATTAAAGTGTGTGTGAGTGTAGATGTGTGTTGTCTGTAAACCCTCACTGTCTTCCCATCCTTGAGAGGGAGGGGAGAGAGAGGAGGAGAAGGAGAGATTTTTTACCTTGACCTGCCCTTCTTTGGGGCATCCATGGCACAGCATATAAGGGGGTCAGACCTACCAACTTGTCATTTGCTGGCTGAAAACACTTGGTATAAAGCCATTTAGTTTTAGAGCTGACACTTCCTTATGAATTCAGTTTCAATTTTACTTTCCATTTCCTGCCAGGTACTTTCACATACATCTGAGATTCCTCAACTGGGAATTATTGTTATGCCACCTGAGTCAGGAGACCCTTGAAGCCTTAGAATCTCTAGAAAGATTTCCATGTTTACCCCTTGACTTCACATAAGTCCCTGAGACAGTGTTTAAGAACATGGGGTCATTCATGTTTGATTAGCCAATAACATTGCATTAGCAACTGGAAGTATGAGTCCATCTAAAAGGTTCACTTTGTTTAGTTTATTAGCTTTTGCACTGAAATTAATTAAATCATTAGTTTAACCTTAACAATATAGTCTTTAGTCAAGGTGAAGGGCAGGAATTCTTAGCTGCCATTGTACAGAGAGTGGAGTGTATCCACTCTAGCCCACATCCTCACAGAATATGGTTTAACATGAAAACAAAGAACATCTTTTGTACTTAGGAATCTAAAAATGGCCCTTTTCTGATTAAAAGGGACTATATGATTTGAAGTTGGTATTTCTTCCCCCCTTTCATTCTTTTCTATACACGAGTTGCTTATAGAAAAAAAGAAGCAGTTGGTGAAAAATTCTGTGTTGGAATTGGTAAAACAATATTTTGAATTTCATTTCTCTCTATGATTATCTAAAACAGTATGAAGCCTGGATGCTAGCTGCCTATATGATACCGCCACATGAATATTTAATAAGCATTTCAAGCTCAACATTCTCACAGTAGAGCTCTTGGTACCCTGCAGCCATCAGATCACCAGCTCCGCAAGTTTTAGCTATATCAGAAAATGGATCTCCTATCTACCTGGTTGTTTAAGCAAATGTTATAAGAATTTTTAAAAATTCTTTGCTTTCTCTGTCCCCACAGCCAGTCTGTCAGCAATTCCTGTTAACATTACTTCAAAATGTGTCCCTAAATCACTAACTTCTCCCCATCATTTCTGTTACCTCTTTGTCCAATCACCAACATCTCTTCTCTGGATCATGGCCCTGGTCTTCTAACCCATCTTCTTGCCCCCTTATGATCTATTTTCAAGGAGCAAGAACCATGTTTTAAAAAATTATTTCCTTGTTTTCCATAGCAATTAGAATAAGACCTCTTACCCCTTTACCTTGGTTCACAAAGCCCTTTGGACCCAGCTCCCGCTGCTTCTCTGACTGCCCCCCATCACAGTTCTCTGAACCCCCTTGACTTTCTGTTCTTTGAGTAAGACAATCAATCAACCTGAGGGCCCTTTCCCAACCAGGAATGGTCTTTCCTAATCTTCCCATAGCTGGCTCCTTCTGCTATTTAGAAAAAAATTCTTCTGATTAGTCCAACATAGAAACAGTTCCCGGACATCTGACAGTATAGGATGAATCACCAGCCCACCAAAACTAGACACCATTTATCACATAACTCTCTTCTATCCTTTTTACATTACCTGGGTAGCTGTCACCACCAGTGGCAAAGGTGATGAGAGCAGAATCCTCACCTGCTTTTTCAGCATTGCATCACCAAGTCTACAGAAGAAGGGCTCAAGAATGACGTACAAACAACCATTTTTCATGAGCTGTGTAATAGCAACTCGAGAATCAACAGGCTATTTCTGTCTGCTTTCATTTTATAGCCGACTGGACTTTATGAGTATAAGGTCTCTGGTATTGTGAGATCTCCACCAGACCTACTTGCAGATGTTTATATGGACTTAGACTATAGAAAACAGTGGGACCAGTATGTTCAAGGTGAGTCACACTTGATCTAAAAAAACTATTAGAAAGTAGAATCTATTCCTATTACTCTAGCCAGTAAAATGCAATAGGTTTAGTTATGTTATATATGCAATAAGTTTAGTTATATTATGTTTCACTTAAAATTTTAGCTTAAATATCTGAAGTGCTGGGCTTAAATGTGATAATTTGCCCTTACTGCAAGTTTGTTGTCATCTTGTATATATACCTGAATATCCAGGTATATCCTGATATATACCTGGATATATATACCTGAATATTCAAGAAAGGCTTTTTGGAAGAGGTCATGTTTGAACTTTGCTTTAGAAGTGGAATCAAAGTTTTATAAATGGCAAGAATACATGTGTATGGGGAAGAGAGAGGTGAGGGTGGTGAGTGGAATGAGGACATTTGGCCCAAATAACAGCATTAGTAAAATGAGAAATACCTGAAACAACATGAAATGTTAAAAAATGAAAACAACTCTGAGCAATTTTGTGTTCTTACATAGTTGTGGTAGCAGAATTGGAATTAGCCCCAAGGGCCTAGGCTGGCCACCTGGCTACACTCCTTAGATTTTTCCTATAAGTGATGGAGAGTTATAGAGGGAATAGATAAGGTATCTTTTTCCCACTTAGAGTGAACAATGGCCTCTGCCATCTCAGTCACTGTAAAATAGATACACAGCTAGCTGAGGGGCACAGGAATCCTGGTAGACCCTTGCTGTGGTCAAGAATTTTGTTTGCAAGTAAGAAAAGCTAACAGATGGCAGTCTAAGGAAAGGAAAGAGTTTATTGTTTCACGGCATTGAAAATCCATGAGTATCTGGCCTCCAGGACAGCTGTATTCAGTACTTCATTTCTCCAGCTTGAATGTTCTCTTTTGTGTTGACCACAATCTCAGGCAGATTCTTGTGCCTTGGCAGAAATGCCACCAGGAGATGTAGGCTTACATTCTAACCATGTACACAACCACAGAAGGACAGGAACATTCCTACTTATGGCATCCAGATTCCCAGGATTGGCTCCTATTGCATGGATGATGTGCTTATTTCCTGGGAATGTTTATCATGGTTTGGGGTCACTTAATGTTGTCAAATACCTTTACTATTTAGGGGGCATTGTGGTGCCCACTAATTCAAGGGAGAAGTCACACATTCTCTGCTCATCTTCCTAGCAGTCATGGTTCAGTCATGTGCTGTAGACGCTGGCAGAGCCTCTGATGTGTGGTACTTGGCATTAAGAGCCTGCACTATGGAGCGTGGCCCAGAGGCTGCAGTAGCTTGACTTCTCTGGAGCAATCCTGAGGTTCCTAACCTAACTCTATTCCTCCTAGATCTTCTCTGAGCTTCCTGAGAGCCTTTACAAAACCACTTTTGGGCCTAAGCTTGCTAGAGTGGTAAGCCAAGACTATCCACGCATGTATTCCCTAAACTAATTGCTGTGATCATGTTTGACTCATTTTCCCAGCCCTGAAATTAACACTGAATCAGTCCTGCTTAAACCACATTGTGGAGAAGGAGGGGAAGGGTGATGACCTGAAGGAGAAAGAGCTTCTGGGGCAAGAAGGGGAGAGTCATAGCAGAGCAGGCAAAAGCAATGGATGTCCACTCCTTCCCTTCCTTTCAAGGGCATCTGCGGCCTTTTGTAGTAATGGACTGATAAGTTCTTTACTCCATAGTCTGCTTCTAATAGGTTTTATTTCTCTCAGAAGCTGAATTAAACAACACATTTCTGCTGTCAGCAGCTCCTCAAGGGGCTCTCTTGGCTCTTTCAGCAGTCTTAGCTTGACTCCTCTATATGGTTATTTAGAAGCTTCCCACACAGCTTGAGGGCAGAGGCTGTGCACTTCATGGTATCCCTTTGCTATCCTCTTCCTTGAGCTGATGTTATTTGCACACAAGAGCATGGTGGACATTATGCAGATTTGGTTCCTATCTCTGTAGTATAAAGCAAAACAGGAGAGAGGCAAGTAGCATAGTGTTAGCATAGTTAAGCTTCTTCCTGCTTACAAGAACACTAACCTCTCCGAAACCTTCATTAAACAACTGCAAACACTAAACTGCATTGCTCGGTCCCAGGATACTTGAAATATGTCAATAAATTTAAGGTGAGGAGTAAGGTCACAACAGCAAAACTATTGGCATTGCAGTGCCATCCAATGGTTACCATGATTTAATAACTTGAAATTTTATTTTTGGAAGCCTAATCTTATTATCACACTCTACCTTAGAATGTTTGTAGCATCCAGTGAACGAATTTTCTTGGATTCATTTATTTTTAATGTGTTTTTAAGTCTATTAAAGACTGTTTCTGGGCAACAAGCTTTCAGTGATAATGACTTTTCCTGGAAGTCAGTGCCTTCTGAGTTAGTGGTTTATCATCCTCTACAAGGTTGTCATATCAACACTTTTTGTTAATTGAAGCCAAAGAGACTTCCAGATGCAATAACATCATTTGATTTTTTTTTTTTTTTTTAGAACTCCATGAAATAAAAGTCGATGGAGAAGAGGCGGTCTATTGGCAAATGAAGTACCCTTTTCCCATGTCCAACAGAGATGTATCCTTTCCAAAAAAGAAGTGCTAGTCCCTCAGTCATGGCCAACTCTTTACAACGCCATGAACTGTAGTCTGCCATTCTCTTCTGTCTGTGGGATTCTCCAAGCAAGAATACTGGAGTAAGTAGCCATTCTCTTTTCCAGGGGATCTTCTGGTTCTAGGGATTGGACTCCAATCACAGGCAGATTCTTTATCATCTGAGCTACCAGGGAAGCCCATCCTGGTGCAGCATTGATCAGCTTTCTTAGTGTATCTGTGCCTGTGGCTGTCACCCAATGGTGGCATGGCCAGGAGGTGTGGACAACACTGTCTTTTACTCTTGTGCAAGCATCTGCTAAAGATGTTGCTTCTTGTGTGGCTTTCAGAGACCTCAGGGTGTGATTTCTGGGCCTGACTACATGTACAATTACTACAGTAATTGTAGGAAGGCAGCTCATACTTTCTTGAGAACTTTTCTAGGAAATCTTTTTGCCTCAGAATTGAGGACCTGAAAAAATTTTTCTATTTTTTTTTCCATTTATTTTTATTAGTTGGAGGCTAATTACTTTACAATATTGCAGTGGTTTTTGTCATACATTGAAATGAATTAGCCATGGATTTACATGTATTCCCCATCCCGGTCGCCCCCCCCTCCCACCACCTCCCTCTCCACCCCATCCCTCTGGGTCTTCCCAGTGCACCAGGCCCGAGCACTTGTCTCATGTATCCAACCTGGGCTGGTGATCTGTTTCACCCTAGATATACATGTTTCAATGCTGTTCTCTTGAAACATCCCACCCTCGCCTTCTCCCACAGAGTCCACAAGTCTGTTCTATACATCTGAGTCTCTTTTTCTGTTTTGCATATAGGTTTATCATTACCATCTTTCTAAATTCCATATATATGTGTTAGTATACTGTAATGGTCTTTATCTTTCTGGCTTACTTCGCTCTGTATAATGGGCTCCAGTTTCATCCATCTCATTAGAACTGATTCAAATGAATTCTTTTTAATGGCTGAGTAATATTCCATGGTGTATATGTACCACAGCTTCCTCATCCATTCGTCTGCTGATGGGCCTCTAGGTTGCTTCCATGTCCTGCCTATTATAAACAGTGCTGCAATGAACATTGGGGTGCACGTGTCTCTTTCAGATCTGGTCTCCTCAGTGTGTATGCCTAGAAGTGGTATTGCTGGGTCATATGGCAGTTCTATTTCCAGCTTTTTAAGAAATCTCCACACTGTTCTCCATAGTGGCTGTACTAGTTTGCATTCCCACCAACAGTGTAAGAGGGTTCCCTTTTCTCCACACCCTCTCCAGCATTTATTGCTTGTAGACTTTTGGATAGCAGCCATCCTGACTGGCGTGTAATGGTACCTCATTGAGGCTTTGATTTGCATTTCTCTGATAATGAGTGATGTTGAGCATCTTTTCATGTGTTTTTGTGCCATCTGTATATCTTCCTTGGAGAAATGTCTGTTCAGTTCTTTGGCCCATTTTTTGATTGGGTCATTTATTTTTCTGGAGTTGAGCTGGAGGAGTTGCTTGTATATTTTTGAGATTAATCCTTTGTCTGTTGCTTCATTTGCTATTATTTTCTCCCAATCTGAGGGCTGTCTTTTCACCTTGCTTATAGTTTCCTTTGTCGTGCAAAAGCTTTTAAGTTTCATTAGGTCCCATTTGTTTATTTTTGCTTTTGTTTCTAAAATTCTGGGATGTGGATCATAGAGGATCTTGCTATGATTTATGTCAGAGAGTGTTTTGCCTATGTTCTCCTCTAGGAGTTTTATAGTTTCTGGTCTTACATTTAGATCTTTAATCCACTTTGAGTTTATTTTTGTGTATGGTGTTAGAAAGTGTCCTAGTTTCATGCTTTTACAGGTGGTTGACCAGTTTTCCCAGCACCACTTGTTAAAGAGGTTGTCTTTTTTCCATTGTATCTCCTTGCCTCCTTTGTCGAAGATAAGGTGACCATAGGTTCATGGATTTATCTCTGGGCTTTCTATTCTGTTCCATTGATCTATATTTCTGTCTTTGTGCCAGTACCATACTGTCTTGATGACTGTGGCTTTGTAGTATAGTCTGAAGTCAGGCAGGTTGATTCCTCCAGTTCCATTCTTCTTTCTCAAGATTACTTTGGCTATTCGAGGTTTTTTGTATTTCCATACAAATTGTGAAATTATTTGTTCTAGTTCTGTGAAAAATACCGTTGGTAGTTTGATAGGGATTGCATTGAATCTATAGATTGCTTTGGGTAGTATAGCCATTTTGACAATATTGATTCTTTCAATCCATGAACACGGTATATTTCTCCATCTGTTTGTGTCCTCTTTGATTTCTTTCATCAATGTTTTATAGTTTTCTATGTATAGGTCTTTTGTTTCTTTAGGTAGATATACTCCTAGGTATTTTATTCTTTTTGTTGCAATGGTAAATGGTATTGTTTCCTTAATTTCTCTTTCTGTTTTCTCATTGTTAGTGTATAGGAATGCAAGAGATTTCTGTGTGTTAATTTTATATCCTGCAACTTTACTGTATTCGTTGATTAGCTCTAGTAATTTTCTGGTAGAGTCTTTAGGGTTTTCTATGTAGAGGATCATGTCATCTGCAAACAGAGAGAGTTTCACTTCTTCTTTTCCTATCTGGATTCCTTTTATTTCTTTTTCTGCCCTGATTGCTGTGGCCAACACTTCCAAAACTATGTTGAATAGTAGTGGTGAGAGTGGGCACCCTTGTCTTGTTCCTGATTTCGGGGGAAATGCTTTCAGTTTTTCACCATTGAGGGTGATGCTTGCTGTGGGTTTGTCATATATAGCTTTTATTATGTTGAGGTATGTTCCTTCTATTGCTGCTTTCTGGAGAGTTTTAATCATAAATGGGTGTTGAATTTTGTCAAAGGCTTTTTCTGCATCTATTGAGACCATCATATGGTTTTTATCTTTCAATTTGTTAATGTGGTGTATTACATTGATTGATTTGTGGATATTAAAGAATCCTTGCATTCCTGGGATAAAGCCCACTTGGTCATGGTGTATGAATTTTTTAATATGCTGTTGGATTCTGTTTGCTAGAATTTTGTTAAGGATTTTTGCATCTATGTTCATCAGTGATATTGGCCTGTAGTTCTCTTTTTTTGTGGCATCTTTGTCTGGTTTTGGAATTAGGGTGATGGTGGCCTCATAGAATGAGTTTGGAAGTTTACCTTCTTCTGCAACTTTCTGGAAGAGTTTGAGTAAGATAGGTGTTAGCTCTTCTCTCAATTTTTGGTAGAATTCAGCTGTGAAGCCATCTGGTCCTGGGCTTTTGTTTGCTGGAAGATTTCTGATTACAGTTTCGATTTCCTTGCTTGTGATGGGTTTGTTAAGATCTTCTATTTCTTCCTGGTTCAGTTTGGGAAGTTATACTTCTCTAAGAACTTGTCCATTTCTTCCAAGTTGTCCATTTTATTGGCATAGAGCTGCTGGTAGTAGTCTTTTATGATCCTTTGTATTTCAGGGTTGTCTGTTGTGATCTCTCCATTTTCGTTTCTAATTTTGTTAATTTGGTTCTTCTCCCTTTGTTTCTTAATGAGTCTTGCTAATGGTTTGTCAATTTTGTTAATTTTTTCAAAAAACCAGCTTTTAGCTTTGTTGATTTTTGCTATGGTCTCTTTAGTTTCTTTTGCATTTATTTCTGCCTTAATTTTTAAGATTTCTTTCCTTCTACTAACCCTGGGGTTCTTCATTTCTTCCTTCTCTAGTTGCTTTAGGTGTAGAGTTAGGTTATTTATTTGACTTTTTTTCTTGTTTCTTGAGGTAGGCCTGTAATGCTATGAATCTTCCCCTTAGCACTGCTTTTACAGTGTCCCATAGGTTTTGGGTTGTTGTGTTTTCATTTTCATTCATTTCTATGCATATTTTGATTTCTTTTTTTATTTCTTCTATGATTTGTTGGTTATTCAGAAGGCGTGTTGTTTAGCCTCCATGTTTGAATTTTTAATATTTTTTTTTCCTGTAATTGAGATCTAATCTTAGTACACTGTGGTCAGAAAAGATGACTGGAATGATTTCAATTTTTTTGCATTTACCAAGACTAGATTTATGGCCCAGGATGTGATCTATTCTGGAGAAGGTTCCGTGTGCACTTGAGAAAAAGGTGAAGTTGATTGTTTTGGGGTGAAATGTCCTATACATGTCAATAAGGTCTAGCTGGTCCATTGTGTCCTTTAAAGTTTGTGTTTCCTTGTTCATTTGCTGTTTGGTAGATCTATCCATTGTTGTGACTGGGGTATTAAAGTGTCCTACTATTATTGTGTTGCTATTAATTTCCTCTTTCATACTCATTGGTATTTGCCTTACATATTGCGGTGCTCTTATGTTAGGTGCATAAATATTTATAATTGTTATATCTTCTTCTTGGATTGATCCTTTGGTCATTATGTAGTGTCCATCTTTGTCTCTTTTCACAGCCTTTATTTGAAAGTCTATTTTATCTGATATGAGTATTGCGACTCCTGCTTTCTTTTGGTCTCCGTTTGCGTGGAATATTTTTTTCCAGCCCGTCACTTTTAGTCTGTATGTGTCCCTTGTTTTGAGGTGGGTCTCTTGTAGACAGCACATATAGGGGTCTTGCTTTTGTATCCATTCAGCCAGCCTTTGTCTTTTGGTTGGGGCATTCAACCCATTTACATTTAAGGTAATTATTGATAGGTACGGTCCCATTGCCATTTATTTTTTATTTGGGGTTCACGTTTATACCACCTTTCTGTGTTTCCTGTCTAGAGAAGATCCTTTAGTATTTGTTGAAGAGCTGGTTTGGTGGTGCTGAATTCTCTCAACTTTTGCTTGTCTGTAAAGCTTTTGAGTTCTCCTTCATATCTGAATGAGATCCTTGCTGGGTAGAGTAATCTAGGCTGTAGGTTATTCTCTTTCATTACTTTAAGTATGTCCTGCCATTCCCTTCTGGCCTGAAGGGTTTCTATTGATAGATCAGCTGTTATCCTTATGGGAATCCCTTTTTGTGTTATTTGTTGTTTCTCCCTTGCTGCTTTTAATATTTGTTCTTTGTGTTTGATCTTTGTTAATTTGATTAATATGTGTCTTGGGGTGTTTCGCCTTGGGTTTATCCTGTTTGGGACTCTCTGGGTTTCTTGGACTTGGGTGGCTATTTCCTTCCCCATTTTAGGGAAGTTTTCAGCTATTATCTCCTCGAATAACTTCTCATGGCCTTTCTTTTTGTCTTCTTCTTCTGGAACTCCTATGATTCGAATGTTGGGGCGTTTCACATTGTCCCAGAAGTCCCTGAGGTTGTCCTCATTTCTTTTGATTCTTTTTTCTTTTTTCCTCTCTGCTTCATTTATTTCCACCATTTTATCTTCTAACTCACTTATCCTATCTTCTGTCTCTGTTATTCTACTCATGGTTCCCTCCAGAGTGTTTTTGATCTCATTTATTTGATTATTAATTTTTAATTGACTTTTTAAAATTTCTTCTAGGTCCTTGTTAAACCTTTCTTGCATCTTCTCAATCTTTGTCTGAAAAAACTTTTCATAAAGAGTATTCAATGCCCTCCCTCCGTCTGTAGAGGAGGAAGCAGGGACCCGAAGAAGTCAGGTTACAGAGGCACACAGGCAGTGGTTAGCCGCCGAATGGGGGCTGCAATGCCGGCCCCACATTTCCAGCTCTCTCCGCCTTCCCACCTTCCTGAGTGTTGGCTCTGGACACTGTGTGTGTATTTTTTATCCCCGATTCTCCTCAATTAGAAGCAGTTGAATGGATGTGGGTGGACACTCTAGGGTTCTCTGAAGCCCCCTTAGGGCCAGGCTGGGAGGGTTTGATGGATATTTGCTGTGTGGGTGGATGGGGTGGGTTGAGATTTCAACTCTACTGTCCTTTTCAGTCATAGAAGCTGAATCTTTACACATTGAATTTCCATGAAGGATTCTTTTAACAAAGAGTCTGTGGGAATAAAAAACAAGCAAAAATGCTTGGAAACTACTGCTGGATGACTGCTGGAATCTTTTCCAGCTGTAGCATTCTGTAAGCCGGTATACTCCTGAATAATTGTGCTCTAGAAAGAGAGGGGGCTTGGGGGTGAGTGTGGGTATTGTTCCTGCATGATTGGTTACCCTGGCTTGGCCACATTACAGACTCCATAAAGTTTATTTCTTGGCACAATTCCCACAGACTGCTAGGTAGTTTGTATACAGGTGGTATGTATTTCAGCCAATTGTGGTTACTTAATATTTTAGATTTTATGTGGTTTTCTCTCATCCTGCCAAAACTGTGCAGGGTAGGAGCCATCGTCCCCCTCAGACAGGGAAGAAAACTGAGGCTGAGGGACATTCAGAACTCTGCTCGCTTCTCGGCAGGGTCTCACCATTACGGGCAGTGGATGCAGGCGTGGACCCAGGTCCAGCTGTGTCCAGAGACGGTGATCTGGACCAGAGCAAACCCGCCTCTCTGACCTCACAGGACCCTGTGGGGGGCGTTCTCAGGAGCAGACACTTGGGGCTCCTTGCAGTTTTGCTGCATTGTCTTTCCAATGCCACTCAATCCCATGATGAGTATCTCAGTCTCTGTATCTGAAGGGCTGTTCAGGTTTTGAGCACAGAGAACAGTGTAGAGGAAAAGAACAGTGGTTTTGGAGAGGAGGCTCCCAGGCTGCGTGTGTGCTCACTCCTGGTTTGCTGTGTGACCTTGGAAAAGGCCCTTCACCTCCCTGGGCTTCAGTGAACGGGTGCTTCTGCAGTCATAGGCTAGGTCACACACTGGACTTTGCAACCCTGCAAAAACTTCTGTCAAATTGTAATCGATGCATTAAGCTAATTTTTCCTCAGTTGAGTCTCAGGTAAAGTCTATCACATGAGCCGAGCAAATTGTGGGAGAATATTTGCTGTGGAAAAAATAAAAGGCTTGGGAGGGAGGAAATTCAGAGCCAAAACAACATCATTCCTTTCCTAAAATATTTAAGAAACTTATGCATCAGTAAGTAGAGAGTGGGGACAATAAACTATCCTGCAGGGTGCCTGGGGGAGGGGCAGACCACAGTGGGGACTATAGAGACTCTGAGTTGCCCTTGGGCTCTGGTTTTGGCTTTTATAGTAAGTGTAATTGTGTTGCACTTAGAGTGATTATTTGGATTATTTTAGGCTTTCACTCCTTACCCTGTGAAACCCAAAATTCTGTCACTAGAAAGTCTAAGGAACACGTTAAAGAGCTGAGTCACCTGCAGCTATGAAAATCTTTTCAGGTTTCAGAGCCTGATCTGTTTTCAAATTCAGGTTCCATCCCTTCAGCTGGTCTATGGGATCTTTGGCAAGTTTCTTTACTTCTCTGAGCCTCAATTTTGTTATCTGTAAGATGAGGGTACTTATGCCAAACTGAAAGAGATTTTCTCAGGATCAAAACTGGTGTTCAATGTAAAGCATAGGATGTATGTGTATGGGAAAGGCTCAATAAGTGGTGACTCCTGCCATTTCTTAAAATCGAATTATCTACCCTGTAATAGTACCATAGACAGAGTGGTTGGTCTGTGAGTGTTTACTGAGCTGAAATGACTTTTGTGATTCTTCGTGAACCAGACCCAGTGAAGACATCTGCCTACTACTATTTGGTTATTCAAATATTATGTGTCTTCTTATGATTACCAGGTGTAAGCAACCTTGCCTGACCATCCTTTGTGCATAGAAATCAGTGATACCAGTGATCGGGGCCTAGGGGGAGGCCACAGAGCAATAACCCCATTGTCTAGTGAGTGAGATTCTGCTCCGGTCTCTCTCCAACACTCTCAGTGCGTGCTCTCAAACGAGAACACCAGGTGGGAGGAGCCATGGTTTTGCGGGTAGGTAGGCAGAAGGACAGGAAGTGACGTAACAGTATAAGGAAGCAAGCACCAAGCGGAGGAACAGAATCATGTCCCTTTGCTTCTGGCTCGTCTGACATGCTGGCCTTGATGTTGTGCCTTGACTGGTGGTGTAGTGTGTCTATGTGAGGCAGCGGCGACAGCTGGACTTTGAAGGGCGGAAGGTCCATGTGATCCTGGCCCAGAGCATCTCTGTACCCTGGTTTTCAGAGAAGTCGGGCATGATCCGGGTGAAGCAGTACAAGCAGAGCCTGGAAATCCAGAGCTATGACTCTTGGAGGAGCGAAGGTAAATACAGGGCATATGTTGGTGCACCTACCTGGGCTACCCATGTGAAGGCCACACTAATTGCAGGCCTATCAAATACAGGATGCTTTTTCCCTGAGGTCAGAGACTGGGCATAGGTGCCAAAGAATCAAATGAAACTCAGTTCACCCCAGAAGCTTGGCTACAATGCAAGACGAATGTTTAAATCTGATGAGTCCATTCTTTACTGACTCCATTGTCCAGATGAAACCAAAACACCCAAGGGAACCAGAAGTCTTAGGAACTCACTTTGGAAAGGTCCTATACATGCACAAGCTGGACAGGGGTGGGCAGGAGGGCTGGTGGGACCACCTCTGGGGAGGCAGCTCCTCCTCAGCAAACACGCAGGGACTTGGAACCTGTCTGCCTTGAGTTCCAGCCTCAGGAAAGAGGCTGGGAGGGGTCAATGCAGCCATCTGCCAGACTGGAATGGATGTGACCCTGAAGCAGCAGTAAATCTGAACTTAGTTCTGCCATGTGTTAAATGGACCACCTTTACATGTCACTTTACTCTTCTGAGTCTTCATTTTATCATTTATAAACTGGCATTCAATTTTATCAACTTTTTATAATTGAGATAGTTAATGAGAGAAATAATTAAATGGGAGATATATCCCATTTAGATATAGATAATAGTATAGTATAGATATAGATAATAAGTATAGATAATAAGTAATCAATTAATAGCACTAGTCATGCCTTTAATAAAAAGGAGCAGAATGTGCCTGGGCTGTTTTCCTAAATGTATATGAGTAAGTCTCCCATAAGGCAAGAGTTCACTTGAATTCAGTGTTACTTCCCTCCTTAATTTCTGGACTGAATATAAGCCTGGGTATTTCCAGGGGTTTGGCTCTGTTTTTCCTCTTGTAAATTGTGCTTTCTTTCACTCTCTAGTTTTCATGTATTACTTCAGTAACCCAGGTGGCCAAATTCCGTTCTGGATCCTTAACAATTTCACCAAGGTAAGATCCCAGGAGACATCAGGGGAGGTGTGTTTGGCAGATGTTAACTTAGCAGTCTGGAGAGATGCGCTGTCAGGCCTCATGCAGCTTGTTTGACTGACTCTGGTTAGGACTGGAGTTGCCAACATCCAGGACAGCAGCCGGGACAAAAGACATAGACTCTTTACCTGCAATGCCAGCCCTCCCTGCTTGCCCACCATGATCTCATCAGGATCACTCTCTGGAACCTCCAGACAATAGCCTGCTCCTTGTAGGAACAACGGTGCCTGCGGGCCCTGTGTTTGCTTATGGAGGAGTTTGGCCAAGCTGACTTGGGAGGCAGTGAGACATGTCCAGGCCTGGGAAAACTTCCAGTTTTGTTCTCGTTTTCTTTTTCTGTTGAGGAGCGGGAGCCCCAGTTGACCTGGATCACTCGAGACTGCCTAGGACCTGGAATCATGCCTGCCATTCAGTCTGCTTTGTAAGGTCCTATTTACTGACTCGAGAGGTCACCAGTTCCCTGGGGGAATGAAAAAGAACACAGACTTAGAATCAAGCACAAGATATTTTGAATCCTGACCTTGTTTCTGACTGTGAAATCTAGGCAAGCCATCAGTTTCTCCCCTCCAAAAAATAGAGATAGATATCCCCACTCTAGAGAGAAGGATTAAATAAGACAACATTTAGGGAAATTCTTGAATGCTCGATGCTAACTGGAGGATCACATATCCTGTTTCACCTGCTGCCCACCCCCATTCTTACCATTTTCTAATTCTGGAAAGCAAGTCCTTTCTCTCAGTTTTTTGGAAGAGTCCCACAGCCCAAGTGAATCCCATCTTCTATCTTCCTTTTTCTTTCAAAATATGATATCTCATAAATACCTTTGCTTTTTATTAGCAAAAGCTAAAATGCACAAGGTCTCACAACAGTGGCCACCTTGCCTTACCAGTGCCTTGTGTCTTAATTTGTGTCATCATCTGTGGCCACATTCTGTGGAAATCTGCTTGGGGGCCCGATTGTCATATTTATCATTCCATAAGCCATCTTCGTTATCTTTGCCACTTCCTGAAGAATCAAGAGTGAACACCATGAGGGCATAGAAGTGACAGTTTCCTCTCCTTTGCAGAGTGAAATTCCTGGCTTCCTGAGAGACTTGGAGAATGCCTGTCTGAAGTACCACAGAGCCGAAGAGAGATTTGTGAGCCTTGTGTCCATGGAGTGATGTCCATAGAATGATGCCTGCGTGTGCCCCAAGCACTGACACTCAGCCTGCCTCTCTCTTTTCCAGCCTCAGAGGCCCACACACTCTCCATCACTTGTCCTCAAGTGTGTTTGCCTGAGATCCACTTCCTTTCCCACTCTCCCCGCCTGGGACCCACTGCCCTCTCCCGCTGTTGAATGCAGGTGATATTAGGGAAACCTTTGATTGTTTATTTTTAAAAAGGGGAGTCCTCTAAGGAACACAGTCATTTCATTATGCCCTTCTGGGGTGTTGTGGCGCGGGGGTGGGGGGACCGACACCACCTCCTCAGGGCAACTGATCCCAGTGAGGCGTCTCCTTCCCACACCTGAGTCATTCCAACTCATGAGGGTGATTTCCTGGCGAAGTTGTTTTGCCTTCAGAACTGACTCTCAGTGCGCCAAGACCGGAAGACGCATGTCCACTGGCCTTATGCTTTGCTGATTTGAGATGATAATTCACTAAGCCTCTCCCCATTCCTATGTGGGGAGGATCATGACCTGTTTTGATTTCAAACCATTTGAAAGATGTCACAGACCTGACTATGTGTATAGTGTGAAACAGTTTTTTTCTCATCATCCTTGTCTGGGTTTTTCTCTTTCCCATATGCCCCTGGGGAAGGCTGTCTGTACCTCTCTAATTCTGTGTTTTACTGGACAATGAGGCATCAAGATAACTCTGGTTGTTACCATAAGCCAACTTGCTCTGCACACAGCATTGAGAATAATTTTCTTTATGTGTAATTTCTTCTATAATATTTGGACATGTTGAAAGAATAAGTGTTCACAGACAGGGAAATATGAACTAGTGGTGTGGTTGACACTACACCTTTTTTCTCAGGAATTCTAAGTTATTTGCTTCTCCCACCAACAGAAGACTTCCCTTTTCCATTTTTTCTCTTGAGTTTTGGAATGAAAGCTATTCTGTGGAAAAAGACACAGCTTTATAATCTCAGGGAAAACTTTTAATCACTTTCTGTGATGGTACCAAGTCTTGATTACTGGACATACAAATTCAGGATGTGATGCCAGAAGCAGGGGATTTATTAAAATGTGATAACTCAGACTGTGTCTTTTCTCTCTGGAAAAGGAGGTGTGTTGAATATCAAATAAATACACAGTGACTTATACTTGTCCTGTCTACAGTCTCTTTTCTGCCTTATTCCCTATGAATGAGACCGTTAGGCCTGTTTGGTTTGCAAGTGAAATCCAACCTAACTCATGGACTTGAACATAAAAAAGAATTTTAGGCTCACTTACATGCAAGGTCAGGTGTAAAGTGGCTTCAGTTGTGGTTGATACAGGTGCTTGACAGATATTAGGAATCAGCTCTGTTCTTCTTTAAGGTATCTTAGATATTGGGCCATGTTTGGTGGCAGGATCACTGCTACTAGAAAATGGGAGACCTGCATCTTCCCGAGTTCACACCAAGTTAAAAAAAAAATTCTTTCAGTAGATCCTGAACCACCCCAAGATTCCCTCTAAACCATATATCAATCCCTATCCCAGTGATTGGTCATGTGGATAGAATTCTTCAAATAAATGGATACTTCATACATGTATCATTGAAATAGCACTATTGGTAATGTAGGGCTTGTCTTCTGGCTCAGATGGTAAATAATCTGCCTACAATGCAGAAGACCCGGGTTCAATCCCTGGGTTGGGTAAATCTCCTGGAGAAGGGAATGGCTACCCACTCCAGTATTCTTCCCAGGAGAATTCCATGGACTGAGGAGCTGCAATTTAATTTTAGGTAAAGTAAATCTGAATATCTCATGTAATAGAGGTCAAGTTGACTGTTTATATATAAAGTCATTGAAATACAAGCACTAGGATTATAGTCTTTCAGCAGAGAATCCACCTGAAATAGTATCATGCCAACTATCTTCAATGGTGTTTGATAATCTGCTAAGAACACAGAATACTAAGAATGCTAAGAACACAGAATACTAAGTTTCTACATGTGAAAGTGAAAGTGTTAGTCGAAACTTTGTCAACAACTCTTTGTGACCCCGTGGACTGCAGCCTGCCAGTCTCCTCTGTCCATGGAATTGTCAAGGCAAAAATACTAGAGTGGGAAGCCATTCCCTGCTCCAGAGGATCTCCCTGATGCAGGAAGATTTCATGCATTGCAGATATCAGGAAGGTTTCATGCATTGCAGGCAGATTCTTCACCAAGTTTCTAGGTAAGGCAGCTTAAAAAAATCACTGTTTGCTATAATGAGTAGAGTTAAAACCCTTTGGCATTCAAGTTTACTAAATTGGAGAAGATAGTACCAAACAGTGGGAAGCATAGAACCCCTGACCAAACAGTAAATGCCAGAGCACCAAAAAAACATGAAACTGGTGCTTTGGAGTTTGAGCTGGATTTTTACAATGTGACTCGCTGCAGGGGCTGAATGTATCATTTGGAATTTAATGTTGTAATTGTATTCTCATTCCTCTAACTCTGTTTCACTTATTTTGTCTGTCCTTCTGAGTAGATGATAAGATCTTTGTGGGTAGAAACCCTTCTTCCTCTTAGATTACTGACCCCTAAGCAAGTATGTCCTAGGCATTCAAATGGTACCTAATGAGGGACTTTAAGGACCTGGAGAAGACTGACCACACACACACCCAGAAGGCAAAACCTATCTAGATACAGAGGTGAGATTTGGTTACATGAAATACTATTTTAATATTTAAAAATCTGATTCAAGGCAATTTTTCCCACATCATCATTTTGGGGGTTCTTGATTCCTCAGGATCTCTTGGGTCTTTCCTTGAAAGTGCTCAGGTACTTTGCTTATAACGGTGACTTTGCTGACGTGGCTTTAGGTTATACTTCAATGTTACAAAAACCTTACTGTCTACACAGTCCAGCTGAGATTAGTCAGGATTTCAGGATTTTGAGGACTAAAGTGGCAACTACTATCAGTGTTAAATTTTTTCCACAGTCTAATTATTCATACTGTATAACAGTTTAAAGTTAATGATGGGGAGGAGCCAAGATGGCGGAGGAATAGGACGGGGAGACCACTCTCTCTCCTACAAATTCATCGAAAGAACATTTGAACGCTGAGCAAATTTCACAAAACAACTTCTGATCACTAGCAGAGGACATCAGGCGCCCAGAAAAGCAGCCCATTGTCTTCGAAGGGAGGTAGGACCAAATATAAAAGATAAAAAGGGAGTCAAAAGAGCTACGGATGGAGACCCGTCCCAGGAAGGGAGTCTTAATAGAGGAAGTTTCCAATCACCAGGAAACCCTCGCACTGGCGGGACTGGGGGAAGTTTTCGGTAATCTATCTGGGAGGAAAAATTAAACAAGGCCCACAGATTATGTGCCTAAAAGCAACTCCCAGCTTTAAGTACCCCAGACGCCCGTACCCCCCAGCAACAAGCAGGGGCGGAACGGAGAGGAGCGGGCCGCATTGCTTAGGGTAAGGACTGGCCTGAAGACCCTGAGAGCAATCGGAGGGAGCTTTTTAAAACTGTGGGATAGCAAGGGACAAAATTAACCGGCCCGAACACACTGCCAGCGGTTCACAAAACAAAGGGACTGAGAAACTCCAGAGAAGAGCCGGCCCATCCCCGCTGGAGGTAGGAGGCAGGGGGGAGGGGAAAAGGGCAAACTCAGCCCCTGAGAAGCCACCCCCTCCCACACTGCAAACAGGCCCCCGGTTCCTATCTAAAGACTTCCTGAGACCCGACTGGCGGCGCGCGCTGGGGCCGCGGAGGGAAGAAGCACGCCGTAGCCGGGGAGAGTGCGCCCAAGCCTCTGGCTGCCTGAGCTGCCCGCC